AAAACAATTACAAGTTGTGTTGTACTGTCGTTCTGTTGATGCTTTTGTTATTACGTAAGGGATGGGGTCTGTATATGTCCATAATGGTTTTTCTATTTTGGAAAGAAGAATTCTAGAAAGCGAATATTCCAGCCTTAAAAAAAAAAAAATCTATATATTGCATTTTCAACGCAAATTACTATGATCTGCCCCGGATGAGCCTATTTTTGTCTTTTCATTTTAATAATAGCGTGGAATACTGAAATGCACCTCCAAAGTCCAAAGTTAGGGGGGGAACATCACTACTTACGTCATATTCCCCTTTAGATTCGGACAACATTAATGTAATTGCAAAACAAAGAAAATGACAGAAAATAAATATATAACATTTATAAGGTGGAGCACTGAGGCGAAGACATTTGTAGTCAAAAATAGTACCCAATAATAAATAATTGTGATGACTCGCTCTCGACTAAATTAAAAAGATTTATTTAGTATTATATTATGCACAAATCAAAAGAAATGAATACTTTTTTTGAACATTTTTATCATGGAACCGATTCAAACCGTTGCTCTGAAAAGAGGGATATGAACATTACAAACGTAGTTAGAGCCACTTCGGGCCAGGTTCAAAAGAAATGAATACTTTTTGAAAAAAAATACGAAAAAAGAGATAAAGAAAAAAAAATTAAAACATTTTAGGACTTTTATTTAAAAGAAAAAAAAAAGAAACTACTTTTCGTCACCGCCAAGGATTTTGCTTGACAAGATTTTATTCTTCTAATTGGATACTTGAAAATAAATTGTTGTTTTTTTTCATAAATGAAAATTTTAAAATATTTAAAATGGATAATTAAAATTGATGTAAAATAAAATAAAACAGTTAGGCGTAAAATATAAAAAGATAGTATCATTTTGAAACAAAATTAAAATATCTTAATATTAGAAATATCAAAATATTTAATCATAATTATTTTATGTATGAAGTATAATATAAATATTAATTTTATTAAATTTATTATATAATTATTATTAAATATTATGATATTTTTAATATCAATATATATTAATTTTTTTAAATATATATTTTTTAAATGGCAATTTTAAGGCGGAGGAAATTACATTTATGACGACGAAAATAGAAAAAGAAACAATCCCATTGGTTTAATGTCAATAAAAAAACCTTCAAACTTTGACAAAGGGCTCATTATCGTCCTTCGACTCCAACAGGAATTATTACAATCCTCAAACTTTCAAAAATAGGCCAACTATCGTCCTTCCGTCAAAAGACGTTATGATAGCATCCGTTGGTCCGTCTATTGCACCGTTAAGTTTGACTCGGCATCCTAGGTGGCACTTAGTTGGCAACTTCGCTATGTTATTGGTTGACGTGGCCTCAAGTCACTGCCTAATATATTTTTTAAGCGGACCTACCCCGTTAAAATGTGTCAATTTTTGAATTTAGATCCCGGAAAATAATTTTGAAATAATTTTTTTATATTATTTTTTAAAAATTTAGTGTGTTATTTAAATAATTTTTTTTTATCAATGTGAAATTTGAGGGATAAGAGGAATAGTTACAATATTATTGCACTGACAGCTTGAACTCTTGATAAAGAAATCAAGGACGTTTGTGCACTTCCATCGCGGTTAAAGTCGTAAGTACATTTAAATAATTATTTTTTTATTAATATAAATTCATAATATTAAATATATTTATTTATTTAATAATATATAAATTTTATATTAAAAAATAATATAAAAAATTAATTTTATAATAGTGTCACTTGTAAACCCTGCACTAACAATATCACTAGACTTTTCTTTTGTCACGTCCTCAACCTACAATATCTTCGAAAGTACATTCAATATAAATGTCTACTTCTCCATGAATCCTTTATGATTAATTATTTTCTTAATCCTCTAACACTTTATCAGGAACTTTATAACAAATAAATTCCACGAGTCAGCATCATATCCCTTGGCCTTAATTTTGTCAACAAATTTCCAAGGGTGAAACAACTCAATTTTTATTGTCCAGTTTAAAATTTCCCCACCTATATACCTTACCAATGGATCTTTGACAAAATTTCCGCCCACATGTAAATGAAATGCCCCATGCAAATACTACCCTGCCATTTAATTAGTCTACAAACAACGTAAAACAGTATGGGACCAGAACACTTCCATCAGAGTCCGAATATATCTTTTATATATATAAAAAAATGGAAACAAAAATTACATATTATAAACATATGCAGAGTCATCATAAAAAGGACAATCATTAGTGGGGACTTGATCTAATTACATATTGTAAGTAATGTTTTAATTCAATCAAAACTTATTAAAAATTAAAAATACCAATTATTTGTAAATTTAACAAACGATACTATTATGTCAAAAATTAGAAATAAAGAATTACCATTTTTCACGAAGGTTTTACAGATATTGAAGGATTTCTTCTTCTACCCTTTAAACACAATCTTTTAGGGAAACATGCTTAAGAAATTTTGGAAAAGATCAAAATGAAATACTGAAATAGGGTATTAACCTCATTTAATTTGATTAGGGCATATAAAATCGACATATTTTAACTGATAAAATTAATGTAAGTCCTACACACTTAATTTTGTAGATCGCTTGGTAATGATGTGTACCACCCAACTCCATAAACTGAGTTCAATCTTCTCTCCTCCAAAAATTGCCTTTCATAAAAAAATAAAAAAAAACTGATGTAAGTCCCGCTCAAATACGTTTTAGGCGGTAACTTGAGGCCACGTCAACCAATAACATAAAGAAGTTGCCAACTGGGCGCCACCTAGGATGCATGGTCAAAATTAACGGTGCAGTAAACGGACCAATGGATGGTGTCATAACATCCTTTGACGGAAGTACGATAGTTCCACTACTTCGCCGATTTTTCAAAGTTTGAGGATTTTAATAATTACTATTGTGGCAGAAGGACGTTAATGAGCCTTTCTTCAAAGTTTGAGGATTTTTATAGGGCATTAAACCTAAAATAAAATGAAAAATCTGGGTAAAAGTCAGACTTAACGCGCCACCTATAAAAAAAACTCTGACAACAAAACGCGTTTTTCTTTCTTCTCCTTCCCCTAACTTCCTCCCCAATTCACGAGCTCAGAAAACTAGAAAGTTCTCCTGTAGTCTACCCCTCTTGCCTCCGAAACCAGAGTTCTGATTCGCTCAATCCGGCTCTGATTCAATCTGCTTTTCCGGCATCCCTTCTCGTTGGTTCTTCCTTTCCGGTAAGAATCCTGCCCTCGGGGGTGCTCTCTGGGTGCTCTCGGAGGTTTTTTTGGTTCTGCAGTTCTCTAATCCCTAAACCTAATTGCGTGATACATTCATGAATAATAAGCGGCATGATAGATTCTTTCTCTGATTCCTAGGGTTTCAGTTTCTAGATTTTAGTTTCTGAATTTGGTTTATAGGGTTTATTTATTTTGTTTGACTAAAAAGGAAAAAATGGAGAGACAGCAAAATTGTTTCTTTGTTTTGTATATTATTACGAAACTCTGTAAATCTGTAAGTATGGGCGAGTTGTTGTTGCTTGTACAGTTTTAGTTGAAACTTTTCGTCCTTTTGTCTTGGAAACTATTTGTTTTCTAGAACTGCACTAGCGAGTATGTCTTCTGCTGGTGTTGTTCTTAGTCCTGTTCATATTGAACCCATTCTTTCCCCTTGTCAAATTGATCCCTACGAGCCCATGCTTTCCCCTTGTCGCATGAATTCTGAGCGGGTTCTGTGCCAAATGGAACCCATTTCTATATTCTTGACCTTTTCACGATCTACGGTGCCAATGCGTGTCCTGGAGTCGGATTCTATTGAGTCTGTGAAGCTGAGGATTCAGAACTGCACGGGGTTTGTTGTGAGGAATCAGAAGTTGGTTTGTAAAGGTCGGGAGCTGGCACGGAGCAATTCCCTTGTTCGTGAGTATGGTGTCACTGATGGGAATGTTTTGCATTTGGTCATTAGGCTTTCTGATATTCAAGTCATTAACGTTAGGACTGTGTGTGGGAAGGAATTTCTCTTTCATGTTGGACGGGGAAGAAATGTTGGGTATGTGAAACGACAGATTGCAAAGAGTGAGAAAGAATTTGATAATCTTGATGAGCAAGAAGTTCTCTGTGATGGGAAGCAAGTTGAGGATCAGATGCTTATTGATGATATATGCAAGCCTGATGATGCAGTATTGCATTTGTTGGTCTGCAGAACTGCAAAAGTTCGGGTCAGGCCTGTTGAGAAGAATATTGAATTGTCTATTGTGGCACCAAAACCAGATGATAGGAGAGATTATGTTGCTGGTGAGAAGAAAACTAGAAGACAATGTGATGCTGCTGAAGATTGTTCAAGAGGATATGAAGCTCATGAGGAGATTGTACCAAGAAAACTTCCTGATAGGGATTTTTTTGTGGATCCGGTTACTGTTAATCCCATGGCACCAGAATGGGATCATAGGAGTGCTGATGTCACCAGTGAGAAGAAAAATGGAAGACATTATGATGCTGCAGAAGATTATTCAAGATATGATGAAGTTGATAGTACAGTTGTCCCAACCAAACCACCTCATATGAAATTTTTCTTTGAGCCAATCAGTAATCCCAAGGTTGAATTACCTTCGGTGATGGAGATGATTAATTCCACCTCTTACGGATTAGATGGTGGGAACCATCCAATTAGGTCCATGGAGGGCACTGGAGGAGCGTATTTCATGCAGGATGCAACTGGCCAAAAGTTTGTTTCTGTTTTTAAGCCAATTGATGAGGAGCCTTTGGCAGTTAACAACCCTCGAGGACTGCCACCATCACCAGATGGTGAAGGGTTGAAGAAGGGCACCAGAGTTGGAGAAGGAGCAGTTAAGGAAATGGCAGCTTATGTTCTGGATCATCCAAAGGGTGGGCTTCCCACATTATTTGGTGATGAGAAGGGTTTTGCTGGTGTGCCGCCAACTGTTTTGATTAAGTGCGGGCATAGTGCATTTAACAATCCTGATGACGTTACTGCAAAGCTTGGGTCCTTGCAAATGTTCATGGAAAATAGTGGAAGTTGTGAAGACATTGGTCCTGGGGCTTTCCCTGTGGAGGAAGTACATAAAATCTGTGTGTTGGATATAAGATTGGCAAATGCAGATAGGCATGCTGGAAATATTTTGTTGAGCGAAGATGCTGATGGAAAGACTCTGCTAATTCCAATTGATCATGGATATTGCTTGCCTAGAAGTGTAAGTATTCTTGATTGCCTGCAATTTTGTGGATATCTTTTTTGTTGGTTTTTATTTCTTTTTTCTAGTTTTTTCTCTGTTTTTCTTTTTCTATGTTGCAACCTGGAATTTGGCTAAAAGTCTTATGGTTGTGAGGTCAATTCTGAGCTTTAATTTTCTATTTACTTACTTTGGAGGTTCCTTAAAATTATTCTACCTAAGTTTTTCTGCACTGATGTGGCCTTAATTGCTATGGGGTGTCATAAGCTTTTCAAATTTCTATTGCACCATTGAAAAGCTCTACTTGAAACCATGTTTCCAGGTCTCCATACACTACTCTGCCCATTCAAGCTTTAATTATTTTCCATACTCTTTTTCTGCAGTTTGAAGATTGCACATTTGAGTGGCTCTATTGGCCTCAAGCTCATCAACCTTTCTCGCTTGAGACCATCAACTACATTAAGTCTCTGGATGCTGAAGAAGATATTGCCCTTCTTAAAGACCATGGATGGGATATGCCACTGGAATGTGCGCGCACACTTCACATCTCTACTATGCTCCTGAAAAAGGGAGTTGACAAAGGGCTCACTCCCTATGCCATTGGAAGCATGATGTGCAGAGAAAGCTTGAACAAGGAATCTATAATTGAGGAGATTGTCCAAGAAACAAAAGATTCCATTCTCCCTGGCGCAAGTGAGGCTTTATTTCTTGAAACACTTTCTCATATCATGGATCGCCATCTTGATGAGATTGCTAGGTCATACCCACAATAGAAATGCAGGATTTCTGGTGAATAGAATAGTACGTGGTGATGGTGTATATGTACAACATGTTATCAAACGTAGATATGCATGGCCAGATGACACCTTCCTCACGTTTCTATGGTATCATATTCACGTACAGAAGCCTTTTATTTCTTCTTTTAGTTTCTTGTGATTATCAATTCTTTTATTTACCTCAGTTAGCTTTCTCATACATTTAATTGGAACAAATATATGGTTCCATTTTTTTTTTTTAAATCTTTTGCAAAGATTGTGTTTCCCTCAAGCCTAAATTTAAGTTGTGCTGCATTGCAACTTCAGTAGGGTTGGATCAACTTGGATACTTTTTGGTTCAATTTGTAATACTCCTGTTCCAATTCCCCCTGCTTTTTTTTAGTTCTAAGCAGAGTATATGGAAACTCCTCACTGCTACTTCTGTAGGTAAATCAATCCAGGACTTGAGTTAGAACTCACTGCTCTTGATGACTCAATGGGGTTCATCCCCTCAAAAACTGTAAAAACAAAAGCCATTAGATTTAGCTCTACTCACTTTGATGTTATAAGCTTTGTTGTTAACATAAATTTCACGCAACTTGATGCAATGATCCTAATGAGGCAGGAAATAATGCTGCTGTGATAATGAAAGAGTACCTACCCATGTCATATCGTTCTTACCATAACAAATGATGGTTTCTTATTGTACATGCCATATGCAGGACATGTTTGGACTGAGACAAAAGAAGGGAAGTAAATAGGATAGAACTGTGGGAAACTATACGACTATTGTCATTTCCATTCCCTCCCGCGGAAAAAAAGTATTGTTTTTGAACTTGTTTGATAAAAACGTATAGAGTAATCTGTACCCAGAGCTGGAGAGGACAGGCCCAATTATCTTCATACTCTCAGGGCAAAGGTATGAAACACATGCAGTCGAACTCACGAGATGGAATAAAAGCAGTTTGTCACCAGCAATTGCATCAACTTAGGAAGATTGATGCTGACAGCCACAATGTTTGAGCGGCATTTAGAACTCTTAAAAAATGATCCTCATCGTTGCTTGCTGATGCGTTTTTGCTTGTTATGACACCTCTTGCTAAGATAGTTAGATATGAGAGCCAAGTATCACCTTTGCTTCCTGGTACCCCCTTTCAGCATCTTCTTTGATCTTTTCCTGTAAACACGACAACAAATAAAGAAACTCACTTTGCAGCAACCATAGATTGAAGCCATTACAAATCAGTATTTGCCGTCACGTCATGGTATTCTCACTTATTGGAGAACTCAAATTATAGCAACTCAAACAACCGAATTTGGAGTAGAAAAAGAGTATGAAATTACCTCCTGGCGGGTTTATCTGGCTTGCTGCTAGAATGAAACACACCCTTAATCATTGTGTTTACATCAACAGACCGCTCCTGCATAATCTTATCATGGTACATCTTGCTTCCAATCTCACATATTTCTTCCTCCACCTCTTCCAGTGTTTGGTCCACATTGAGCTTTAGCTCCCCTTTCCTGATGACAGTTACACCAAATCCATTTGCTTTGGCTTCTCTAAAAGCATCCTGATAGAGGATAACCAATAGACAACAGGAACGTTTTTCATGTCAAAAATGAGAAAAAATT